CGCCGCGCACGGTGCCCACCACTGCCGTTCGAGCGAACCGCCGCCGCGTTGCTGGCCCTCTCAGTCGCGACGCGCTCGTCACGGGGTGCAGATCGTACGCCGTTCGTCGCTTCGACACCCTTCGCCGCGCGCAGCACGCGCTTCTCACGCGGACTGTCGTCGCCGTACGTCGCGCGGCGTTTACCGCGTCCCGTATTCGTATTCGTACTATTCGTAACGCGCGATCTCGTCGTGAAATCCGTCACGTTGCCGTCGTGATCGTTGTCGTCGCGTTTCGAGGTGGTTGGTGGTGGGTGGTTTGACGGTGAAATCTGACTTTTTCTCTCGGACAAAACGCGTCTCGATGCGATAGACGTTTCGGTGAGACTGAGATAAGTGTGACAGTAGTTGGAAACTGTTAAAAAAAATAGAGAGAAAGAGAGAGAATACAGCGAAAGAGAGAGCAAAGATTAATAATTAAGTGTGCCGCGTGGTGCATCCAAGTAGGAACGCAATTACCCCCCCTGCTCCTTTGTCGGGACTGTTCTGATCCCTCGGGAGACTCCCCGTCGTGTATGATGCTTCGTAGGGAGAGACAAGGCGAACTCTAATTTTTTTGGAAGCGGTGGGAGTGGATTCAGAGAGTACTCGAGTATATATATATATATATATACATATATATATATACATACGTATACGATATATTGTGAGCCACGTTTTCGGAGCTAGGCTGAAACGATGCTCGACCGCGACGTCCCAATGGGACGATGACGCCCGCGTCGGTTCGCGTCTGACAGGTCCGCGCACGTTGCCACGAGGCGCGCGGATAAGGCTCTCGTACTCTTCCCGCGTCACTTCGCGCGGAAGGAATCTGGAGGTTTTGCGTGTGGCTGTGCATGTGTGTGTTGCAGATGCGATCTCGTTGCTGATCCGATCAAGGTGAACGTTACCGAGAAGCAGAGGCGAGACGCACCACGAGGAGGCGATTGGAGGAAGAGACGAAAAGACGAGGAAAAACGGTGGAGAAAGCGTTGGAAAAGGAAAAACTCGCCTGGTGTGTGTGACATAGAGGAAGCCGAGGGCGTTCCTCTTCGAGAGAGACAAGACAAGCAGAAGTTGCATCACGTTCGATCATGACGCAACAAAGTGGAGCTGGGTCACCCCAGCAGTTCTGTCTGCGCTGGAACAATTATCAGACTAATCTGACCAACGTCTTCGATCAGCTCTTACAGAGCGAAAGTTTCGTGGACGTAACCCTGGCCTGTGACGGGCATAGCGTTAAAGCCCATAAAATGGTCCTGTCGGCCTGCAGCCCATACTTTCAGGCGCTCTTCTTCGACAACCCCTGCCAGCATCCTATAGTCATCATGAAGGACATCAAGTGGCCGGAGCTCAAGGCCGCGGTCGAGTTCATGTACAAGGGTGAGATCAACGTCTCCCAGGAGCAGATTGGGCCATTGCTCAAGGTCGCGGAGAGTCTCAAGATCCGCGGCCTCGCGGACGTCAACAGCGAGCAGGAGCTGACGTCCAGGCCGACTCTGGAGGAGGTCGCGACCGCGGCGATGCAGCGGAAGAAACGTCGCCGGATATCCGGCGATCGCTCCCCATCCGGTAACAGTCCGGAACGTGTCGGCTCCGGCAGCATCGGCCCCGACGACGACGTGATCGGTAGTAACATCGTCGTGCCCGAGATTCACAGCATGGTGCCGTCGACGGCCAGCTCGACCCCGAGGTCTCTCGGCTCGCCCAGCACGCCCAGCATCTCCGTCACGCCGCAGATCAACCTGCAGGAACTTCCGGTCTCGCTACCCTTACCGCCACCCCCGCAGCCACCGCCGCAGGGACAGCAGAGCTCGCACCCCTTGCCAACCCACCACGTGCCCGGCCACGTGACTTCCGGTCCGCACGCGCCCGTCAACCACCTGGGCGGCCACAGCCAGCAGCTCAGCGTGCAACAGCAGCAGCAGCAACAGCAGCAACAGCAGCAGCAGCAGCAACAGCAGCATCATCAACAGGGCGCCGGCAATCAACCCGGCGCCGGCGACGACCTCGAGATCAAACCCGGCATCGCGGAGATGATTCGGGAGGAGGAAAGGGTGAGTCGAGTTTTGTTTACTTATGATCGATCTGCTTTTCCTTTATCTTCTCCCTTATCTGCGTGGAGGAACAGTTTGTTATTTGAAAATTAATTGACGTTGCACTTCCGATAATAGATCAATGTCTCTATGCGAAAATTATCAAAGAAATGATTAATGCATTAGCATGCAGAACGCTATTATTAATAGCGTTAAAAGTTAAAAGAGACCGAGTGAAAAAGTGACTTTCCGTTAATTTACGAAAGAGTTAAATAAAATGTGCGTTAAACGTTTTAAAAGATTCGAACGCATCAATAATCCTCGTTCTCTAAACGCGAAAGAAGCTTTTATGCATAATTGTTATATCACAGCAGTATTCCTGCCTGTGCGTCTGTGAAAATTATTGCTAAATTAATGTTATCTACAAGAGTGATACTATTTCTTACGATTAATCCTTTTTCTCGGGACGTACATTTGTCTTTGCACGCGTCAGTGCTAATATGTAATTTTCAATGCAAATTGAACAACAAGAATTCCGTAATTGCGCGGAGTGTTGTAATTAGAAGATTTTTATGTTCACGATAACGTCGAATCACTCAGATATGTATTCCGATGAGCTGAATATAACTTTCCTGTTTTTATGCCGGCAGAATATTACTTCTTATGCCGAAGATAAATTAGTAGAAATAATATGCAGGAAGAACAAAAAATCGTCAGAATTATACTTGCTTGTTAACGAGAATGGGATAAAAACTGCATTTCCGTCAGAAGTAACGTTAGATCTTCAAGAAATACATGCAAAAATGTATAAAAAGATTGATTAGTTCTCTGCCAGGTAATAAATGTACTAGGCGGAAAGTTTGAACAAATTTCAGGTATATTAGAAATTTAAGAAATTCACTTTTAATTTAAATCTCGATGCATTATCAAGCTGCGCTACAAGCCTAATTTTATTAGATGTTGATTGACGTTAAATAAACGAGCGAATAAATTTCTGCGTTCTCGTAACTGGAAATTCGCGCACGCGCATACATTTCAATTTATTCCAATATTGGATAGGATAAATACGAGCAAAAGAGAAATATTCCAATATTTGCCCAACATTTAGAAATAATTTGGCAACGCGGGTGGGTCAATTAAAAGTTTCCTCCGCCGCGCCGGTCAGAAACGCGCTGCGGCCGTGAATTGAATAAGAAACGTCGACGTTTCTCTCCCGAGCGAACTACCGGCGAACTTCCCGCTCTCTCGATCGAAACTTTCGCGCTCCGGAGTGCGGTTAACCCGAAATAATCGCGCGCGGGAACGTAGTTTTCCCGATAGAAAACAAAGATGTTTCTCTCGTTGACCGTCGTTAACGAGAGCATGATAGGTGATGCGCACCTCGTGTCATTAGAGCGCGGAACGCGTTCGTCCTCGTCAAGGCAATCGATCGCGATCCTCGACGAAGACAACGCGCGGATGTGCTCTGCCCTAATAATTGGCCGCTCTGGCGCTCTTTCGACTTGGAAAAGTCGCGGACGCACTCGAGACGCGCGACATCAATTATTATACGAGACGCCTGACGAGTTTTCGCGCCGAAACCAGTCGCGCGAGAAGGGGTGGGAAAGCGGAAGGGGTGGAACGACAGAGGGAAAGAGAGAGAGAGTCCCGCGCGCTTTTCCGCGGACGGAGGTGGAGGGCCATCCCAATTACCCGGCGATTGGCTTCGACGGTATGCGCTAATTGAGAGTATCAATGAACGTCAATGAGCGCAGTCAATATTTGGCCGGGGTGCATCCGGCCGAGCGTTTTGTAACGTTCTTTTTGTTAAAGCGGATGACAAATATTGACCGCGCTCGTTCGCGTTCGCGCGCGGACGTGACACAAACACGCGTGCACGCACGCACGCACGCACACACACGCCCGCGCGCGCGCGCACGCCTGGGGTATCGACTGTTCTCGTTAATTACATCGGGACGACGGTGTCTCCTGCATTATTTATCGTCCGCTACCGGTGCAAGTTATTAAGCGTGCGGCTAGTTACAAGCCGTTTTGTAACTAGCACGACGACCGCCGGACGTAGGGGGCAGGTTAGGTTGCACCGACTTAGGCCGAACAGTTAACTTGGCTTAACAAAATATATTCTCTCTCTCTCTCTTACCCTCTCTCTCTCTCTCTGTGCTTTCAACAACGCTCACGTTCATTCCCTACCGCGCGTGTAATTATGCCGCTTATTTGTACCAATAATACGATCGATGCATGGACTGTTCGCTATCTTGATTAAATTTAAAGTGATCGTATGCATATATTTCTCTTGTAAAAACTGTTGTCTAGAATTCCACAGTCGGAGATAATCAACACTCTGATGCATTATATTCAAGGTTTATCTTATCCAGATGTATATATTACGTATATATTTTATAATTTACATCGACAGCTACGTTTTTACGTTGCTTATGTAACATAATCCGATAAGTGGGATAAAAGTCTTAATATATGAATATCTAACGTTACATGAGAATTCTGTGTGAGAGTATCGAGTTCCAAAGCTAATCGGAAAGTTAAATAAGTTTAATTATTATCCTACCCGACGCTAAATGCATCCGCGATCGACGCAGCGGGATTTATTCGTTGTATGGATCAACACCTTCATTCGGCATGTCTTACGCGTGCATCCAGAAAACGAACGTTCCAAGTAGCGGTGAAACTTAATGCGTGCGAGCACGTTTAAATTTTCATCCGGGGATTTTCGGGCGTGGGTATACGAGAAGAGTGAAAATATCGGACGACACTGGAAGAAACTTGCACTTGGTGAATAAAGCAGGACACGCCGCGTCGCTTACGAGCGGTTTACGCGCGGAAAAGCACGGAGCAAGACTGACTCCGCGCCCGTCAGTTGAGTTCAATCTGGAAAATTAAAGTGAGCGACCAGCTCGCGCGCGCGGCATTATTTTTTTTTTTTTCCTCTCTTCTCAGGGCGCACACGTCGCCGAGCCCCCGCCGCACACACCGTGACGTAATCCGCTATACGTATATAATGGTTATAACATTCCGCGGAATTCCATTATGTTAACGCAACCACGTTCCAATTCTCTGGGTATGCCTGCCTGCCTGCCTGCCTCACTGCCTGTGTGCCACGTATCGTAAATGCGCGCCGTTGTAGTATCGCAACTATTCCGCGGTGCCTTTCCGATTAAAATACCTAATTGATGCGGGCGAGAGGAACCAATGGCGGATCGCGGAATGCCAAGCCGCGAGAGTGCTGCCAAGCACCGTCGACGTGGAATTTTTTTTTTTTTTTTTTTCCTTACGGGACGAATAAGAGAAAGAACGGAAAAAGAAGAGGGAGAATAATTATACAAGTAGATGAAATGAAATAAAATGTAATTATGCAGATTGCAGTAAATGGACAGAATGCGTCGCTATTTCTAAGAAAAAGAGAGAGAGAGAGAGAGAGAGAGAGAGGGGGGGAGACAGAGAGGCTGAGGAACTTGTAGAAAAAGAGAAAGCGATGTTTTCATTTATATAAACAGTATATCAGTATTAACGTGAAAGTTCTTGGATTAATTTATTCAAGATAAAAAGAAATGCAAGTTATAAACCACGAAGGAAATGATGAAGTAAGTCAGGAGAAAAAGTGCAGACGAATAGTGCACGAGATGCTCGTTAGATTACTGACTTAAGCGCCTGAGAGTTTTATTCTCCTTAAATCTAATTCTAATAACTTTATATTCTTCATTGAGGAACGAAATTCTCGAGCGTACGGCTGTTCCTGGTCTTGTATTCGTCAAGAAGAGTTTCGTTGCCGAAGGTCGGTTTCTCGATGACGCAAGTCTTATCACCAAAGTATACGAAGTGTTTTTTTGAAGTAGAGAAGATTATTTATATTTTTAGAAAGGATACTTCTCTTATATATGCATATACGTACACGAAGAGTTTTAGAGTTTAAAGTCCATTGTATATATAAATACGTCGATGATGAAATTATAAAAATTTTATCGAATACTATGATTGAATTTCTATTGATAATATCCGATTCTTTATTGCGACGCATTTCAATGAACGTGTTGACCAAAACGACCTCGTCTCTTCTCTCTCCAGCGTGCGAAATTATAGTACGTGTGTAACAGATTTGCCGATTATTATGACTGGTATTTCATTACCAATAAATTTCGACATTTCATTGGCTATATTTAGTCCACAGTCGCATTAACGTAAATAATGTAACGAAATATGCCCCTCACCTAATTCTCCTTTCCTAAAAGTAGCGCTCGACCTTCCGTATCTCGTTGAAAATTAGGGAATCAACAGGGAGCGTCCTGAGTTATGAATCGTCCGCCTCCGGCGGCAAAAACCGGAGACAGTAATTATTTATACTTGGAACGGACCCCGAGATCCAGAGGGGCCTCAGGACGACGTATACACGGCATTACGCGGTATAAATATAAATTATATTTCACCTGACGCGCGTGGGCCCGACGATGCGTCTTCTACGATCGCTTAATCGTGCCCTAATCGCATCGATTAATCGTGCGTGTAATCGTTCACATACCAAAGAACAGGTTTTCGCGATTATTCATCATAAAAAAGTTTATTAAGTAGCGCGCGCGCAATTTCATGTTTTTAGCCGATAGTGAAATATGCTGTTTTCGTAATGAATATGGCGTTTGATTATTTGACACACTTGGTAAATAAGATTGAATCTCAATAAATTAATTCTGTCCGGCATATTTAAATAAATTTTTTTTTAGATACGAGAGCTTATTAAAAGTTAAAAGTAGGTAAATGGTTTAAAGATACAAGTTGGTAGATGGGATACTTTGAACACTACAAAAAAATTTTAATTTCAGTAATATTTTTTATTAGTATATTATGTAAATTTATATAAGTTTTATCCTTACGATACGAGATACAGGAATGTAAAAATAATGAATTTTAAGGGGATCCTAAAGCCGTCTGTATTATCGACTAAACCTTATAATTTTTGTATAACAATTACTTTTTTCCTCTTTTACAAATTCGAAAATCTTTTCCCAGGATTA